CTAAGTGGCATTTTAGTTTACCCATAATGGAAACCATTATTCCAAAGAGGTCCCAGAGATGAAGATTCCAGTCAAGTAGACTTAATGATATTTTTGATTGTTTAACTACAACTGTATAGATAATCTTTATTGTTATTTTTTTCCCTCTGTGGGCACTCTGGCACACATTAAAAATGACATTCTGTTGCTTGCTCTCAAAAATGTACACATACATAATACACATATAGATATGCTACATGTATTTGATCTGCTTGGAAATATTCAATGAACATATCCCACTATTCTAAATATTGTAATATGTTTATTTTTTTTTAACATTAAAAATGTCATCTATCCATTTTTCTCAAAAATATGATTCCCCCATTTAAGGTTGCAGGATATTGGAGACTTAGATATGGATATGAAATAAACAAGAAACATTTTTTCCTCTCTTGCATCTCTTGAAATCAAATTATATGGACATTATTGTTGTTGTGAACCATATTATAAAAGAACAAAGAACAAAGAACAAGGAGAAGGAGAATAAGGCTATCTAGATCAAGGGCAGGAGGAATCATACAACTTGAATCCTGAAATATCACTATAGCAACATTTAAACCATGCATAGAAAATGATGCACATTTCTATACTTGCTTCCTTGGATACCAGCTATAAATGACCTCTCTCTGGCTTAGTTTGTGGTATTCATACATGTACTTAAAGCAAAATATGTTATTTTACTTACCTATAATAATATTCTTCCTCTATGATTTAATCAATGTAAATAGTGTCTTATATACTATATTATTTTCTACTTCATAGTTATCCACAAAACAGTTAAAGTCAACACGCGCACCTCATTGCTAGAGAGTTGAACAAACAGCTTAGAAATGTTCCAATAAGAAGACGAATCTTTCTGTTCTAATGAAGAATTACAATTCTTATGTAATCCCAAATATGAAAGTCTACTAGTTAATTGATTTTAAAAAGTGTTTGCAAATCTTTGACTCATCAAGAAAAGTTACATATTATTGCATTTCTTTTGAAAGACTGTATATATCATAGTCTAGCATGACTTTCCTCAGTCTCTTGCCAAATGAAATAAATTCTGATTAAATAGAAGCTGTCCACATGAAAGCATCTATTGCTATAAATCATGGTTTGCAAAAACTTTGCAGTATAAAGATTCCTATGGCTAGAAAATAAGCATCACCATCAAGTAATGGCTCCATTATTATTATCATCCCTTTATTATTCTTTGTTTTAGCTGTTTTATAGGGTTTTTTAATGATTTGGAATAATTTAAAATGATACTTTTAGATTTATTGTTTTAGTTTTGTTGAACACCATCCATAGTCACTTGTTTGTTAGATGAGCAGTGACAGGAATTAGATAAATAAGTACATTAGTTATTTAATGGAATAAGATACTCAATATCCCTGTGACAAAAAACTATTCACTCTAAAGTTACCGTACAAAATTTTTCTATTTAATAGCTTTACTAATTGTACAAAACTTTCAATAACTAAGAGAACATTATAGACACACGAATCCTTCCTAGCCATACTTGGTGAAGAGAGAGGTTATTGAGAACTTTTTCATAACTTTTGGAAACTCATTTCATATTTTGAAATAGGAAGAAGAGATGTCCTGGTGAAAATCATTTTTGCTTGACATCAATAACCACATCCTAATAATCTACATTCATAGCAGCACATTGTATTATGTACACATTCCATTTTACTACTGTCATTTCTTATAGCATTAAGCTAGGAGGCCAGTCTTTGCTTCATCTGAATTTAGCAATGTAATCACAATTTCTTCCAATAGCATAAAGTATCAAAACATAGATATTTAAATAACATTAACTAACAAAATAGAAAAGAGAGATGGGGGAGGGGGAGAAAGAAAAGGAGAGGAATAGAAACTTTGCAAGGCATCATCTCTGCTGTTTTAACATGATTCTTTTAAAGACTACATTCAACCCTGTAGGGATTCGTATATCTTAGCATTATGAAACTATTTTCTCTGCAAGAAGTATTTTGAATCATGAACCATCCTGACTATTGAGAATAATTTCCTTTTTTAGATTAGCTAATTTGCAGTCCTCTTAAAGCCAAACATGCTAAATGAAACAAACCTTTAGCAGCCCATGCTTCTTTCCTTTCACTAGCAATTCATGCATTTTATACCCAAAATTGTTCTCTATTCAGAAACTCCTGGCTGTCACTTCCTAGCTGTCTGATGGTAATTACAGAATTGCTTACCCTTTTATCCTGGAAAAAAAAAATTGGAAGGCATCTTGGCTAATTATCAGATGCTGATGAATGTTGCACTTATATTCTGACACAAGCAATGAAAACAGTTAACCAGATGAAATGCCTATCCCTACCAAAATGGAAACACCACCACACATTTAAAATAGGACATAAAGACCAAAAAAACCCCCAAAGGTTCTTGAGGATATTTTCAATGCCACTGGTATTACCTATAAACAGCACCGGTGTGCACCGTCTGAATCACAAAATCTCACCTATCACAACAAGAGGATGCCGAATTCCAATCTGAACCACGTCCACATGTTTTTTAGCCCTCATGCCAAGCAAGTTTAGCTTCTCTGAAAGTCCACATCCACCATCACCATTCCACACACCAGTGAGATTGACTTTTATTTCATCAAGATTTTGCCCCTCCCCCCTAAACCCTCTCCCCCCCTGGATTCAATGGACATGTAGCTTTGCAATATAACTGGCCCAGGATCAAACAATGGTGGCACTATTTTCCTGCCAAATAGCAAGGTGGCTTTGCCAATGAATTCTGATTTATCAGATCATAGTAGAGTGATTCAGTGGCAAGAGGATTGCTTTTTTTTTTTTCCTCCTCCCTTTAAAAACACGCTTTTTCCTTCTCCATCTTATTTCAGGACTTGCCTTACACAAGCACAATATCCATGTTCTATTGCGGTTGATAGAAGGATAGTCCCTAACTGGGACAAAATTTATGCAGGGAATGGAGGCAGTGAGGGACAAACAAGATTTGTTTAAATAGATCCCCAAAATAATGACATGTGTTTAGTAGAGAAACTGTAATAATCAATTTGTTTTCACTGATTTACTTAAGAGTTATGAAATAAAGGGATTTTTTTAAAAAAAACTAGATACTTTGCTATGACAGTTTTGCAGGATTAGGAATCCTTGCATGCGTGTGTCTGAGAAGATGGTTCAAAGTTTACTATATTTTATGTATCTAACACTTAAGAGGCATGACACAACACTATATAGCATAGCTTTTATAAACAGATAGTTTCATTAAGCTATGAGGGAAAAATAATTAAACCACCTCCCAGAAATATTGATGTTGTTGGTTTGACAGGTTATCAAATATGTTCAGAAGTCATGTCTAAATAACATAATGGGGATAAACACTGATAAAATGCTCATACTCTTGTAAGATTACAACTGAAAAAAATCTTGGAGAGAGGATAGTTAGAAAAACATTTCCAGTTGTTACCTGTGAAAGTATTGCTTTTACAGAAAAGCAGATATTCCCAGTTTGATTAAGTACATTGGTATATGTATAGACATTTTGATTATCAGCCCATGGATGCAAGATCAGGAGAGCCACATGTGAGAAGGAAACATACATTTAAATGGTAAATGGCAATCCTCAAAAGAAGTTAATCTAATGGAAAGTGACTAGTTACCTCAATAGCCTTTAAAATACCTTGTCCTCTTCTGTATCCTATTCAGTATCTATACACTACATTTTTTACAACTATGAAATGGTCTCCTTTTGGAAGAGAAAGCCCCTGTAATTAATAAAACAAATGACCAACAATCAACTTTCTTAGTGAAAAGAAAAAAAAACTTTTCAGACTCATTTTTCCAACTTATGAAATGGCTACAATTACAGGCTAGTTTTGTCCAACCACCGCATTATTTGGTCTGTTGTGCAAACTCAACCCCTCTTGTTAATTGATGGCTGTGTTGCATGGATCCAGAAAATTGAATTAATTGGATATATGATGCTCCAAGCTACCATGGATAAGTAGGTTGTACAAAGAGATCCACAATCCCTCCCAGTTATACAGGAGTACAGAACATATTGTGCAATCCTATTTCCTTAGTGAACATGCATAGGATCAATGTTACCCTTTCATTTTAAACCAAAGCATTAAGACCACTGCATCCAGTGTAACATAGAAAGCTAAATATCAAAACAATAAGATATACCCACAAAATTCAAGAGAGTGTCATTTATGAGGACCCGCACAGCCACAGACATGCTCTGGGAAAACTGAGAGGATTTACCATCAAATCATAGTAGAATGAATGCTCTAGGAGACATTTGAGGAAAGATCTCCCTCACATGTCTTCTTTGGATACAGATTGCCAAGTGCATCACTTGTGCCACCATCTCAGAATCATCTTTCCCCAGTTTGCCTGCTAATCATGCTTCATTATTACAAAGACTTCTTCAGATGGTGACATTGCCATCATTTCCATTTCTTCTTTTTACTTGACTCTCCTCACACCAAATTCTTTCGGCTGACCTTCCAAGCCAGACCTAGTGCCTTCCAGATATACCGGACTTACAACTCCTATTTACTTCCTACCCTGAGCCAACAGAGATGGCCATGTATCATCCACCTTACTTTGGGGTTGGAGAAGACTGTTATGCAATGGTGATGAATTTGGCAGCCTTGGGCCAGTTGGTAACTCAAGCATTACATTGCCAGATACTGCAGGAGCATGACAGACATTTACTAGAGAATGAATAGAAAGGATAGCTAGAGAACCAAGGTATCTGCAAGGGTTACCCAAAGGTTGATTCCCTTCCCCACCCTACCCCCATCCAAGTACCTCCCTCCCCGCAGTCCCTGTCAGTTACTATTTTCAATTCCCCTTTGGTCTCTCCTAGCCTTCAAATACATAAATCACCCCTCAACTCTATCACCTTTTTTAAAAAAAATAAGGGTAAGCATAAAGACCCAAGGCAAAAAATAATAATGTGACACTCACTGTATTTGAAAATCACCCAGGAGCAAAAGGAGGATATCCAGAATGAAATTCCGAAGAAGAAGAAGAAGAAAAGAGGGGAGGGGGATTTTTGAAAAGAAAAAAAAATAATAATAAAAAAAAACCAGGCACCACCACCACCAAGGGCAAAACTACATCATCTCGGCAACAGATCCAATTTGATGGGAGGAAAAAAGGATAAGAAATTAAATATCCATCTGCAATTTTCCATCTAGTTCGGTCCAAAAGAGCTCCAAGCCTGCTGGTTTTTTTTTTTTTTTTTCCCCTTCTCCCCTTTCCAGCTTCCTTTACATGATACTTCTCTTTCCTGGCTTCCTCGCTCCCCTCCCCGGCCGTCACTCTTAGGACGTGGCTGTCTTCAAATGTCCCTGCCTGTATCAACTTCTTTCTTCATCAGGGCACAAACGGACGGGACAGGCTTCAGGTGAAGGGGGGGGGAAAAAAAACCCGAGGAAGGGAAAAACCCAAACCGAAAACCACCAGTTCGACGAAAAGAGTCTTTCTTCGGTGAGAAACTTTTCATTCCTGCCCGGATCTTGTGATGAGGTCTCGCATCCTTTGCCTCTCCCTCTCTCCAATACTTAACTCCTTTTGAATCCCCGAAAGAACGATTTTGCCGACTGTTTTTTTTTTGTTTGTTTGTTTGTTTTCTCCCCCAGCCTCCGCAACGATCCCACGGGCCCCTCCGTTTAAGGCGATTTCTCTTCTTTTGGGTCTGTCTGTCTGCTAAGATCCAGCGGGAGCCAGGGAAGACCCTTCGCGTCCTTTTTTCTTAGCCGCCCGCTCGATTCTCCGATCCATGTGCTTCCACCACAGATCGGGGGTTCCCATGATCTCGGCTCCTCCGATTCCCCTCTTCTCACCAGCCGGGCGCGCAGCCTCTTACATTATTTCTCCCCCAACCAACTTTAGGGTTTCTCTCGCCACCCTCCCTTCTCCGTCGATTCAAGGATCTGATTAGATTTCCAATCACAACCCAGTGCGCAATCGGATTTTTTATTTCAGCCAGGAGCCAGCCAGCAAGCCCAACTCTCCACGTTACTATATCCCTTCGCCTTCCTTCCAACTCCTCTGCGTTTTTCAGAGCCTCACATCAAATGGAAAGAGACGCTGAGGCGAACAGTGGCGGCGGCGGGCGAGAGCTTGGGAAAAAAAGAGAGAGGGGGGGAGAGAGCGAGTGAGCGGGAGGAGGAGATCCAGCTAGCGAGCGAGCAAACAAGGTTCCCACCAGCTGTCAAAAACCAATCCGTCATTTTTCGAAACACCTGAAGTGGGCGGCTTTCACCCACCTCTTCCCGCGCTCCCCTCGCTGCATTTTCCTCCTTTCTTCCTCATCCAGATCACCCCCGGCGTTCAAAACTCCCCTGTCGGAACCCGCCGATCTCCCCGGGGAGGCGCGATTCGTCCGGCTCGCCGTGAATTTTGCCAGCCGGGGATTTCCCCTCCTCTTCATTTCGTCTTCCTCTCCATTTTTGCTTGCCAGCCTGCTGGAGGGCCGCGAGGAGAGACCAAAAAAAAAAGGGGGGGTGCCGGAGGGGGGAAAATGTGTTCTTTGGAATACTCAAAAGAAGCTAAAGTGGGAGGTGGCGAGGCAGCCGGTGAGGGGCAGGCACTGAATTTCTCTCCAACTGTCTTTTTTTCCCCCCTCAGCAGCTCCAAATCCGCTTAGCGACCCCTCCGAGCTACAAGTTAAGACACCGTCCCCCGCCGGCTCCCTTCTTCCTCCTCCCCAGGTCAGCCCCTCTCCCTCCTCAAGGGCTCATTCCGAGGCAAGCCGGCCGCCGCGATGCTTCTTTTTGACACCGCCAGCCTTCGCTCCAGAAACGCTCAGCCCTCCGCGCAGCTGCAGCCGCTTTTCTTCGCGGCCGTCAGCTCCGGTTTGAACTCCTCCGCCCGCTGGGGTGACGAGAGGGGAGACAAGTAAATAAAGAATCCGCTTCCCACCCAGCAGCTGCCGAGGAGGGCAACGCTGGCTTTCTCCCGCTTTCCTTTCGGCAATCGCACCTCGAGATACACCACCTGCCCCGGGCCGATCTTTTTTTTACCTACAACACACTTTCCAATGGTCTTTCCTTTTCCCCCCCAGGTTCCCACATTCCCCCCCCCCCCCCGCGTTTTTCCCCCCCCCCCCCCCCCCCCCTCTCCCCCCCCCCCCCCCCCGCTTGTGATCAGTAAAATACAATTACCCAATTACCTCCCATCATCTTAGCACTGATTGGTCAATTGCATTAACACTTGCTGTTAAGAGAAAGGAACTTCTGCGGTGGGATCCTGCTGCCACCCAGCGGACAGTTAGGAAACGCGATGGCCAGGTGATCTTCAGGAAACTTCCCAGCAACGGCGGCGTAATCGGAATTGAAAGGCTCATCTTGAGGAAAGGAATGTCAAAAGTCATCTTCTTAATAAAACCGCCCCGCAGAGCCCAACTGGTTTATGCTTTGCAAGAGAAAAAACCTGTCAGGGAAAAAGAACGATACGCAAGGCAAGTCCGCTTGTTCAGAACCGGGTATCTTTCTTCCCATACATTTCTTCCCCGTGTTCACAGCCTGCCTTGTAACCTGCTTCTTTTTCTTTCGTGGCAATTTGTTGCAAAGCAAGCGCGCGAGGCTTAGGGCCGCAGCAATATCTGGGATTTCATTCCTATCGCTGGAGCCAGGATCTCGCAAAGTGAAGAGGGCAGGGCGGTCTCTCCTTAAGAGCCTCGGTACGGTCTATAAATGTGAAAGGCCATGCATGCCGTTTATAGCGCTGATTAAGTCCGCGGAGTTAAATCCCACGTTAAGGGGAAGGAGAGGATTTGCTTTGAGATGAAGCTTAAAGAAGAAAAAGTTCTTAAGATAAGAAATGATCTCATGGTATATAGTTGGTGCAAGGTTTACAAGGGCAGGAGGTTTCAGAACTGTATACTTCTGAACTCCTGACTTAAAGTGCAATAGTGAATGTTTTGAAAATAACATCAATGAATAAATTGCACAAGGCAATTATCTACCTATCTACAGTCATTAAAATCAGTAACTTTTTTTTCAGGTTTCTGCTGGTCTCTACTTTAAAAGTTGCATTAACTTACAGATGCTGAAGGCATCTTTTAATGCATAGCTGTATTTCTGGGAAGTTCAAAGTAGTCATAGAAAGTGTGCATTATCCTAATATACGATTTGCAGAAACGGTTGAAGATGGGATCAAAGCCTGATGTTCTTTTCTCAAAACAACAGCAGGGACTGAGGGATGTTCCAGTTGATTCCTGTGAACCAAAGTCTTCAGAATCAAACATTTCTGTTTGCAAGTGACCTGTACTACCTACTTTCTTTTCAAAACCATTGAATAAACCATTGTCTCTGCTCCTTGCTATTTTCTCCTCATCTCATTCTCTCTATACATGATGATAAAGATTGTGTCATCAATTCACTGTTGACTCTTACCAATCACAAGGATAGACTTTCTCCAGGTTCATCAGTCCTCAACTTGGTCCTTCATATCTTCAAATGAGGTGCTCATCAGTGCTGTAGTTGAGTCTACTCAACTTAATGCTGGTCATCCATTTTTCTAACCATCACAATATTATGGATCTCCCTAGAGAGCTGGTCTTTACATAATATGTCCCAAAGATTCTGATAATTTTGCTTTGAGTGAGAACTCTGATTTAACATGTTCTACAATCCATGTGTTTATTCTATTGACTATCCATGGTTTTCTCAAGAGTCTTCTCCTATACCAGAGATTTGCAACCTTAAACACTTTCCTGTTTCCACAGGAAAACAAAAACAAAAAACCGGGAGCCGCAAAACTCTCCCCGTGCCTGACTATTTCTTGAGCGGCCACAAAACTAACATATGTAGTTGAATTAAACATTCTGTTTTCTTCTAAAACTTTTCTTTTCTTGGATTTATCCATGGTTGGCCTACTGGGGATTGAAAAGCTCAATAAATCGTGTGCCAGTGGGTGTCACACATTGGCGGCTGTGACACATATTTTGAGTGACAGGGAGCAGCAGCAGAGGGGTGAAAGAGCCACATGCGGCTCCAGAGCCCCAGGTTGCTGACCCCTGTCCTATACCAAAATTCAAAAGCTCACTACTCTTTCTACCCAATACACTTCTGCTTTTTGAAATTCCACTTTTCAGTTCCATAAAATGTTAAAGGGAAAACCATTGGCTACCCAGTTCTTCAGGCCTAGATATATCAAAACTTCTAAGTATCCTTTCCAAAACCTTCATTATTACTTTACCAAAGGCTGCTCTTGACTGCTGCTCTTGACTGCTGATTCTTGACTACTGATTCCTTCACAGTCAAGTCCTAATAGGCAGAAGCTATCTACCAAGTCAATATCTTCACTGTCAGTTCTAAGATTGGTTGTTGTAACTATTATTAGTTTGGCCTTCTTTATATTTAATCTTAGTTTCATTTTTATGGTGTTCCTTGGCTTTCATTATTGGAGCTTGCAGAACATTTGCATTTTTAGCTATCAGCCCAAATGGGCCTATGGCTCTTTCCTAGGAGCCATAGTAAATGGTGATGAAAAATGAAGATAAGGAGCAGATAAGGATAGAGTTGCTGCTGCCACTGCTGGTGCTACTATCTCCTCTACTACCACTCCAAAAACCTCAGTCTCATATACTGGAAATGAAGCCTTCAGAAACTCCTGTGACTTTTCCAGTGACCATTCCCAATGATTCTTTTCATCTTCTTCCTCTCCTATCCCTTCCTGCTTATGAAAAAAAAAATGAAGGGAGAGGGAATAGCATCTGGAGTACAAATATTCATTTGATTACTAGAGTAGGGGTCCTCAACCCCCAATCCATGGACCAGCACCAGGCTGTGGCATGCCAGAAACGGCCATGAAAACAAGCCCCATCCCCAGGATGCAAGCAGCATGCAAAACCATGCCCCCTCCACTCTGTGGAAAAACCTTTCTCCATGGAGCCAATCTCTGGTACCCAAAAGTTTGGGGGCCACTACACTAGAAGATAGTAGAATACCAAAACCTTTCTTTACTCCCATCTAGTGCAGGTGTGAGATACCCATCACTTTGATGGGGTGATGGGTATCTCAAGGGACTTGCCTCTGGGCTCATTTTATATCTCTAAAGTGAATGCTATGAGTCTTCTTGTTATCTGACTATACATAGATTTGTATCTTATGCATATCTTTTTCACATAAAATCTTAATAAAGTTAATACAGTCTCAAGTGTTTTTGATATTGTAGTATCAGCTACAGTAACTGTAGTTACTTCCTGTAGCAATATTATGCATTCCTTGAGTTTGTTTGGAATTTTATCTGACAAAAAAGGCAAAGAGGGTTGTGCTCTCTTTAAGGTCATCTATAGGGGTTGGTCAAAAAACTCAAAATTCATCTCCCCCTTGCTAAACATCCCTCCTTCTATTTCATTTGACCTGATCCAAAACTCTGTTGGCCCCTTAAAACTTCCAAAATGTGCTCAATCTCATACTATTTTATATATCTAGTTAACTTTTTAACATATGGGTAATTCTTATGACCACAATTGAGCCCAGATTTTATGTTGTTATGTGAGAAATTTGTTAAGTGAGTTTTGTCCCATTTTATAAGTTTTCTTTCCACATTTGTTAAGGGAATCAGTTCAATTGTTAAATTAGTAACATGATTGTTAAGTGAATCTGGCTTTCTCATTGACTTTGCTTGTCAGAAGGTCACAAAAGATCACATGACCCCGGGACACTGCATCCATCATAAATATGAATTGTCAGGAATATGAATGTGAATCATATGACCCTGGAGATGCTGCAATGGTCATAAGTGTGAAAAAACGATCATAAGTCACTTTTTCCAGTGCTGTTGTAACTTCAAATGATTAAATTAAATGAACCATTGTAAGTCGAGGACTACCTTTATATCTTTTTAATGAGAGATAATTCTCTGGTTCCTGCATCTTCTAAGAGAGGCTTGTTTCAACTTCACATGAGCAGAATAAGGAGAGAGTCTAATAATATTCCATGCAGTCATAGCATCAGAGAGTTGGAAGTGGCCACTACCAGCCCTGGTGGGTTTCTACTGGTTTGCCCCGGTTCGGGTGAAGTGGTAGTGGCGGTGGCGGGAGGCTCCAACCACCCACCCAGACATCATTTATTTATTTATTTGTTTCTTTGTTTATTTATTTATTAGTTTGATTTATATGCTGCCCTTCTCCGGAGACTCAGGGCGGCTTACAATGCGTTAAGCAATAGCCTTCATATTTTTGTATATACCAGCTTAGTAGGGCTTTCGCCCCCCCCCCCCAAAGCGGTGTTCTTTTTTATACAAAGTCAGCTTATTGCTCCCACAATCCGGGTCCTCATTTTACCTACCTCGGAAGGATGGAAGGCTGAGTCAACCTTGAGCCTGGTGAGATTTGAACTCGCAGTAATTGCAGGCAGCTGGCAGCTAAGTGCTACTTAACAGCACTTTAGTCCACTGCACCACCAAGTTTCATCATGGACGCTCTGCACATGCACAGAAGGTTCTACGCATGCACAGAAATGCCGTGCGCGAGCACAATTCCAAACCGGTACGAAGGTAAGTGAAACCCATTACTGGCTGGAACATACATTAAAGAATGTTCTGTGATTGGCTATCCAATCTCTATTTTGATGCTTCCAGTCAAGAGAAGGCTACTATCAATAATCAGATAATCAGTTCTATTCTCAACCCAATCTTGCTGTTGGAAAAAATATTATTAATATTCAGTCATAAAGTCCACCTTTAACTAAATCCATTATTCCATGACCTGTATATTAGAGTTAAAAAATTGACTTTCTTCTACATTACATCCCTTTTAGTATTTGAAGAAAGCTATCAAATTCTTACCTCTCCCAGCCATCTTTTCAGAATAAATATTCCCATTTCCTTCAAGCCCTTTTCATATTACTTGGTTTCTTAGGCTTTCATTGTCCTTGATGACATTCTCTATACCTTTTCAACTTTGTCTGAATACTTCTCAAAGTAGAGTGTTCAGAAATAGATGACATACTTGAGACACAGCATTGAATGAAGTGAGAATTTTGAATCTGTACTTCTTTTGATACATTCTAACATTGATTCTGCCTTTTTTGGAGTCACTTCATACTAATGAAATCATAT